TGTTGCTTCTATGGTGTTGTAAAAGACGGAAATCGACAGTATAGAAGGGAAGCATCACCGAATGAACGAAAGACCATAGAATCCTGTAGAGAATTAAACTCATATTTGAGAAATTAAGCACTTCAGTAATATCAAATGAGATCTGTTCTATCCATAAAACTTTAGTCACATTCTCAGTGTAAATTTATTCTTCTAATTTCCCAAATTACGGACACAACATATGAAGGTGGCTACATCTAATCATTCAGTGAATATGGACGCTTTCATTCAAATTTAAACGGTAAGCGTGTACGGTTTCGAACATTCTAGTGTGACTACTGTTTATATTTTTGTCGAACTTTCTGAAAAAGACTTGCAATTGTGATGATGATCTTGAAAATAAACCGTAATTGTTTGCCCAAGAAATTATAACAAAAAGTTACTTAAGGATACTGAGAAATCATATCTTAAAAGATACATAGTTTGTTTATATTATGACAGGTGTAGAGACTAACAACATAAGACTAACCTATACCTAAGTTGTCTACTGGAACATGTCTTAAATTTAGACCTATTGCTATTACCTCTCCTTTTCTAAAAGCTATGGAATAGTTGCTCTTACTTTATCGCCAACCTTCACTCCAAGCCTTTAACGACCCCAAACAATTCGCCTATAAACAGAATAGAAGTACTTTAGATGCAGTTGCAGTCTCGTATCACAACATTGTCTCCAGTTTACACAAGGGGTAGTGGGGGGGGGGGAATTTGTTCGTTGCACCTTCCTAGATTCCACATCTGCTTTCGACTAAGTACCTACGGACCTTTTGTTAAACAAGCTTGTTGAAACTCAAACTGATTGTTGAGTTGTAAAATGGCTGTATTCTTATTTCCCAGGAAGAAAGCAGTACATTGTATGTCACTTCGTTGCCTACTGAGGCTGGTATCCCTCAAGATCTTCTTTCTCCTTTTCTGTTTTCTTTCTTATTACATGACTTGCCTCACTCTAATAAAATGAACTTTGGTAAGTATGCAGATAATCTAACTATTTCAATGCCTGCTAACTCCCAGTTAGGTTGTACTAAGATGAACAGCTGTCTATCAGGAGTCAGAAAATGGTCTAAATCCTTCCAAATGTCAGACTGTCAATTTCAGTTTCCGATGTAAAATAAAGTTAGATGAAGCTGTTAATTCCTATGACCGTTGCAAAGTTGATGATAGCGATATAGAAACTAAGTCTGAAGTCAAGTGTCTTGGGTTAATTCTTTCTTCTGACCTATACTGGTCTTCCCATGTCTTAGTGATTTCCAAAAGAATATTTCGTCTGACTTTTTACATTAAGAAGTTAAGGCGCTCAGGCATAAATCAGCCCCTCCTCTTGCAGTTTGTCAATTCATGAATCTTACCTGCTCTTCTGTACTATTCCCCCTTATTCTTTCCTGGATTGCTTAATAAAGACTATGTCATACTGAAGACTGTCAGTAGGGCAAGTGGTATCCCATTGGGCTATATCGTTGACATTGTCACTGATAGGCACTTGATTTCATGCAACGAATTTGCGGAAGGAATTTTGTCAGACTGTGGGCATCCACTTTACCCGCAGCTCCAACCTTGTGTCTCCTCAGGTAAAACAAGAAGTCTTTTCAGAAGACTTTGTGCACGTATGTCTAAGTATAAAAATTCCACTATACCATATTTGGCACGTACTTTATATGACGAAAATAGTGTTAGGCTTGAACTAACTAACTAACCTTCTTTGCGCTACTAAATAAACCATTTCCTCAACCCCTACAACATCAAACTTTATTTTTTATTGTATTTCTTATATTTATAATCCTCTCAATTTTTTGTTTTTGTTTATTTATTTTTCATAAGTGTGAACATCATTTAAGCTGTGTTATGACTGTTAATTTTGTATTTCCCCTCACCATGCTGCTATATCAACAGAACACTAGATTCAATAATCTATAATAACATGCTAAAATTTCCAAACTGAATCGACAATACTGTTTGAAACAAACTCACTGTTATTATTATTATTACTATATTTAATACTCTCAATTCGTGCTTCGAATATTTTGACTTTATATCGTAAACGTGGACTAATTCCTCTGCTTACTTTTGTTTTAATTTTATTTATATTTTAAGTAAATCAGATGCAATACTGTGACAAATGCTGAGAATTCCATTCTGTATTATAAGTGCTGTTTTTAGAGTTAAGCAGATGATTATTATCATTACTTTTGCTTTATTAATTGTGATAGATATTGAAATCTATTTATGCACATTTCCGTTCTCTCGGGGCATTTTCAGGTAACACAATAGTGCTAATTTTATTCATCTACGTTCCCAGTGGAACACAGGGCTTCAAGCTAGAGGCTTGAAGTTTCGATAGCTTTGGTGTTTACTATTTTTCACTGGATGGGACTGCTAGCCTCATACCCACCCTTCTCTCTTTATCAGTCTTATTACTGGTTTAGTGAGGTGAAACAGTGCGTCGGCCAAGGACCAAACCTCGGACCACATGCGTAGCTGGCGAGCATTCTACCACTGTGCCACCACCGCATACACAGCCTATATCATTGGCTGCAAGCTTGTCTGAGTCAACCAAATTACGCATGATTTCTAATAACTTATTATAGGAAGCCAACAGATACACTCTGAGGGCAACATAGAGGAGATCGTGTGAGGAGGAGATGAGAACTGCTGGTCAGTAGTGGGGCGAGAGGACTGCCTACTCAAACATAATACCAACAGATGCATACTTTAGTCATTTACCGACGAAGCCGTCATTACGTTATTCATTTCAAACAGGTGCAATTGATTACACAGCTTAAAACTTATCTGTTAACTGTGTAGAATGCCCTCAAATATGAAAATACAGTAAATTCACAGTGTGAAGACGAAATATTACTATTTATAAATGTATATGCTTATGAAAATAGAACACTACACAGTGAGATTACAAGTGGTTTCATTAAAGAAATACCACACTGAATTCTTGAAAAGCACTTCACTTGTCTATCGCATAATCTACAAGAAATTAAATTTGCAAATCTGAAAAATTTATAAGTGACCCAGATTTGGACGGCTGTGAAATCCACGACTACAACTTGTATTACTCAAAATATAAGTCATATAATATATATTTATTCCTATCTGTATAGGACACACCAGTTGTACAGGCATGAATAAGTGCTCAAAATTGACCAATGAAAAGATGCATCTATTGTGCCTGAAGAATAGCTGTAGAAAATAACAATCTTTCCTATAACCTCTAATCCTAGAGTTTTATGTGCGCGTGTACTCAACTGTTTTCGTTTTGCTAATCTGGATATCAGTAAAGATTAGAAATAGGAAGTGATGTGGTAGAGCACGTTGACCGCTTCACTTATTTGGGAAGTTCCATCAGCCAGCACAACGGGTTGATCTCCGACGAAATTTCAGCATGGATACAGACGGTTAGTTTCGCATATGCCAGTTTACGCCGTCTCTGGCATAGACGTGATATCCAGCTGGCTATCGACCATAGGAAGAATGTACTGCTCATCAGTCCGCTCCATCCTCCTTTATGGCTGTGACCGAGACATGGCCATTGAGAGTGGAAGACATGAAAAGATTAGTTGTCTTCGATCATAGGTGCCTGCGCTCTATCTCCTGTGAGAAGTGGTATAATAAGTTGAGCAGTATTAAGGTTAGGTGTCGCGTGCTAGGTAAAGAGGGAGGGGAAATCAATCGACGAGGCTGTGAAATTACATCGACTGAGATGGTTAGGGCATGTGTTACGTATTCCTAGTCATCGCCTTCCTCGACTGACGGGCAATGTTATCTGACATAAGATCGGTCAGGCTGGAAAAGAGCTAGAGGTGGTCAAACCAAAACATGGCTTCATAAGTCAATGAAATCCACAACAGCTAGTCTAAGCTACGTAAGAAGGTGAAGACTTCCTGGTTGGGGTCCTCGGGACGGTAAAAACCAATGGTTGGAAACAATTAGTGATATGGCTCAAAATCGTTCTCAATGACTTGTGCAGATGCATCCACTCCTTGTGACTGATGATTTCCAATGAAACTATATTGTTCTTCGTTATTACTATTCCTTTTGTGTCATATCCCTGTTTACTCTCTCTAATATGCATTTCTTCTACTTTCTTGTGTTGCTTTGTGTTCTACAAGGAGGGAGTGTGGCGACTTGAACTGGTGCACATCGGTGCAAAGTTCTATGTCGAAAACAGACAGGCAGACAAAGACTGAGTTATTTTACCCCCACGATATAATTCATCTACAGCTGACAAACAATCACCTTCTCAACATACTTACATACTTTACTAATATCCATCAAGGCACGGAAAGAAAGTATTCGGCAACGAACTCGATTTCCAGCATAGAACTTTGAACCGAAAGGGCAACACTTCGAGTTGCCACACTTCATAAAAAGATAAGCAAATGTAGAGGAAAATGCAAAGAAGCTCTAATGAACGGAAGACTAATCACGTGGAGAATAATAAGAATTTAACAAGTCTGAAAGATCACTAGGAGAAAGATTTTCAGTTGTGTCACCAACAATCTCCAGAATTTGATTCCCGGCATCCTGCGAGCCCCAGCTAGGCGGTCTACACCCTCCCCCTATATGACTCAAACCAACAGTCAGTGATTTCATGAATTAATGTCACGTTTCAGTTTAACCACTCCAATTCTTCATCAACCAATACTGCTCAGTGAGAAAGGCTCGGCATGCGTAGCGTATATCCTGACCGTCTCAAGTGATGCAATTCCATAATCTCAAGTATTGATTTTCCTGCCTCATCTCACATTCTAAATCTAACCTCATTATTAGTGAATATATATATATATATATATATACATATTTCACCACAAAATGTGAGAAACAGAACGCCCAACGAATGTGGTCGAAGACGACAAGTAGTCAACCGACTACAACATTCTAAAAAATCTATAATAAGACAAGATTTTTCCTGTCTCTTTTTTAGAAGAAAAAATAAACAAAAACAGAAAAGCACAATACAATCAGGACCCTTTATTTTATAATCATTATAATGTAACATATTCAAAGAATAACGAAAGCAAAAGTTCATGAATACTTGAATGACATTAAAGTCCTTAAACAGTGAAATTATAAGTATCACAAAAGAAAGAAAAATGAATTGAATAGGATAATAATAATAATAATAACAACAATAGTAATGCTTACATAGATAATAATTTATTTTTATTTTCTTCTTAACTTAAAACTCCTTACTTCAACCCTATTTTTCAATAAAATTGTAATTGATAAGTGGTTAGGCAAAAGAGTAAGAATAGACTTTTAAAGTTGAAAACGGAACACACGGGGAAACACAGAGGAAGCGGGAGAAAAACGTCTCTATTCAGACTAAACCGAAAAAGTAGATATAACCAAAAATATATGAAATGCAATATATACTAGCAGTAGTAACCAAGGTGTTTTCGGAAAAAAAATATACAGGAAAAGAAGACTACCCAGAGGGAAAAGCTAATTTTCTCCCCTATTTTATGATAAAACTGCTAAAAGAAAAACTACATTTTGCGGGAGAGAGAGAGAAAGATAGGGAGAGAACAAACAACCAAAGAAGAAACAGAAACAGACAGATAAAAGTCTTCAATGACAATAATAAAAATAATAATGAGTGCACTAACAACACTGTCTAAACTGATAATAAACTAAGCTTCTTTTCTTTTCAAATCAATTTCATGCATGCTGTTTGAAACAAGGATAAGGAGAGAAGGCAGAACAACGAAGTTAGACAAGAAAGAAGAAAAAATTGGATCAGAGAGAATAGTCAGTTGTTTCACCATCGACAGTGAGTTACATATTTATTTATCAGCCTACATTATCATTTGCAACACAGTAATCTTATGAAACTAAAATAATAATAATAATAACAGGAATAATCACTCTTGAACAAGGGAGTAAATAAGAGCGGAGGACAATAAAAACCGGTATCATAGAGAGAGAGAGAGAGAGTCAAAGATATTCCTTTTTGCGATGTTTTCCTAATTGCTATGACTATTTTTCATGCGTTGAAACACATCCACACACACACACACACACACAGAGTCAGGAAACCAACTAATATAACAGCACTGATCCCAAACATACACAATATGTGATAAGAAAGATATCAGACTACTGTAAACAAATAAAAAGAATGATAGGACATGAAAATTGCTTGTTTTTTCTCTCTTTCTGATGGTTTACAAAAAACAAATCATGTGTGAATGTACTTGATAAACACACAAACACGGAGACACATGAAGACTGGGGTATACATACAAACATGAGCATAAGCAGAGACAAAAAATAGAGAAGCAACAAGACACGAAAAGCAAGATAACAAAAAAGTAATAATAATAATAATAGTAAATGGAAAAAACACAAGACAAAAATCTAGAAATGTAGACAGATAATTAATTAATTCACATGTTTTCTTCTACTTTACCCCGTCGCCGTCCCCCCCCCACCTCTAATATACGTATGCATGCGAGTAACCAACATGTTAAATTAAATCCGTAGTTAAATGTTCTGCTGCTACCCTCTTTATGTTCTCTTCTTTAGGTGTTTGCCATATTTTCGCAGCGTTTTCTTTGAAATCTTGTTTCCACATCCTACCCTTTTCTACATTTCAAACTGGCAAAACTTTTTATTACAATCCATAAAAAAAGAGACAAAAAGAAGGCGAGGAAGTAGGTTGAATTTATTACAGATAAATTTGAGAATAGTAAGCAAGGAAGGAGCTCAGTTATACATTTGCAAAAAAAGGGGAAAATAGGAAGAGAGAGAGAATTCTTTTCTTGCAAAATCTGAAAAATAATGAAACCCAGTTTTAATTAATAGCAACAATTAATTATGATGATAATGACGATGGTGTAATGAATAAAAAATGCAGTTTAAGTGAAGGAGAAATGAATGATGAATATGGTGAAGGAAACACCTACACAGACACCCACTTAGATGGACGGGCAGATGGACTTCATTATTAAAATCTCTCTTTTTACACTTTCGAAAAGAGTCACACCATCCACCGGCTAATACAAGTCTTCATCCAACAAGAATAACAAAAGAAAAAAAAGATGAAATTCTTACACTGAAAGTGAGATGGCGACACATAGAGGATGAATGAATGGAATGATAAGGACTTTTTTTTAAACTTTTTATTGCTTTTTACGATTTTAGTTTTTGATTAACCAAGAAAAGTTATACGATTTAATTAATGACAATAGTAAAGACCCAATAAACAAAAAGGAGACACCTTCCTCAATCAAAACAACTGATCACTGCTACTCTCCTTCCAGTTAACAATTACGAATAGACGCCGCACGAAGAGCTGTAAAAGGGGAAAAGAGAAAGAAATGAATGACTCGAAATGTAATTCTATCAAATATATGATTAGTGGAAGTCAGCATGCATATATGTATGCGTAAGTCGATTCAGGCGTAGTATACTGGCAAATCTAGCATTGACGATATCTGTTAAAATCAATATCTTAATGTTCCTTTTTTCTGACTGATTTTACTGCATTAAAATATCCAATCTCTGTTGTCGTGTCAGCTCCTGTTACGAATGGTGATTTAATGATACCTTAAGGCTTATATGACGTTATCTAGTTGACACAGTGGCTAGCTCTGCTGTCTGAAACAATAGGTGTAGGTGCAACCAGATGACCGGCCCCTAAATACGACGAAACGCTGTCCATCTTGTATTTCTCTCTGCTAACTATCCCATCAACTAAACATGACTCAGAATAGTACAATAGTATTGATTCCTTTCCATCTGATGTGGTAATTCCGATCAGTCTACTCCAGAATAGTTGATCAGTAAAAATTTAAATCATGTTATAAATCTATCTGGGAAACTTAAACGACTAAATTTTTATTCTCTGCCGAAGGCCTACAGTGTGTAGCACACAACTATGTTGACAATTTCCGCCGGATGTTTCGAAGGAAACGAGTTATCGATAATATCAACAGTATTATTACTACTGATTCAAAGCTTACTTTTTAGTCTGGTATGAAACAGTAACATCGCTTTATTCCCATTAGATAAGATACAGGCGATTACAGAGAGTTGTTTAAATTCCAAGTCAAGAATAAAAGTCAAGCAATTCACACACAAAACCAGACAGGCAAACCATGGTCCCATATAATACATATGCATATACAAACGTCGAACGATATTTTCGTCTACTATTCCTACGACAAAAATTATTTGTTTACATGAAAATCCTTTATCAAAATTCAAGTTGAATCAAAGCAAAACTGACGTCACTATTAAAATAACAATTAACGAAAAATATCACAGAACATATAAGAAATAACAAGTTACCGGTGTGACACGATATATATATAATTTCCGAAGTAGTTGGAAAACATGCATAAAATAATACAATACAGGAAATCGTAATGCCATATTCGAACACCTCGCATTTAAACATTTAGAAGAAACAATAAATTGAACGAAGAAATACATGTATTCCTTCTCAGTTAGTTCCTCATCATCGGCTATACAGTAACATGCTTCATGCCTAACTTTTCCTCTTTACCAGGATTATTTCCGGCTTAGCGAGGTAAAGGAGTGCGTCGGTGGCCGGGGATTGAACCCCGGACCATGTACATGGTCGGCGAGCGTCCTAACCGCTAACACCACCGAGTTAATTATTTTAATAATTTCTAATCTCTTATTTTCACCACCACCCCACATAACTACAACTGGTGATTCGTATTGACTGAATAAACCACATAATTGGTATAATTTTGATATATATTTTTGCACAGTCGATGATGAGGAATTAATTGATTGAGAAGGAATATATTTCTTCGCTAAATTAGTTGTGCATTCAAGTTAGTCAGTTACAAAAAACCTATCATTCTGTACACATGAAATTACCTTCGATTACTTCATTCTTTAATTGCTGAACTTCTCGACGGAATTCCGATATCAGTTCACGTTTAAATCCTTCTAGGTCAGCTCGAGTCACTGTATTACTGTTACTAGGGCTTGAACTAGAATTAGACAAGAAATTCAATGCTGAAGAATCTATAGCTGGATTGGAAGTCTTACGTCTAAACATTTTAAAACAAAAAGTAAAACAGGCAAACAAAAGGATTAACTGTTAGGTTACTTAATTTTTAAATTGTACAATTAGGGAAACAAGAATTCAGAAGCAAAATACTTCAGTCAGTGTTCTAAACTTTTAGAATATGATTAGCAGACAGTATCATCCATAACCTTGTGGGAATATATACAGTCTACTTGAAATTTGAAACCATGTTTTTATCAGTGTTATGCTTGAGGATATTACTAGTTAACATGAACAATTGCGTCGGTGGCACAGTGGTAGAATGCTCATCAACCACGCAGGCGGCACGGGGTTCGATCCCCGGCCAGTGCACTCCTTTACCTCACTAAGCCAGCAATAAGAATGGTAAAGAGGGAAGGTTGGGCGTACCACTGCTACCGAAACTTTAAAGCTCTATGTTCCACTGGGAACGCAAAGAAGTAAAATAAATAAAAAATATGAACAACTGCAGAAACAGAATATGTACGCGCTATCCCGTGAATAAATCCAAGTAAGGTCAGTATTTTTTTTGTATTGTGCCAATGAATCCCATTTCGATTGAAAAAGTATCATATGGTCGAGAATAGGTCAGTGGATAACGCCTATAACTACAGTGTATCGGGTAAATCGAATCCCGATCATTCGAGACGGAATCAATCCCTACAATGTTGTAAGCATGCCTTGTTAACGAGCATGAAAACTAGTCCAGGAATTCTGATCGATTGTCTCCAACCGTGTAATTAATAACCAACCTTGAATATATTATCAATCAGCTAACTATGCATGTATTTCAAGTTTACTGGAGTCACACATATGTCAGACACACATCTAGTTAACTTGAAAAAACAAGCAGAAAACGGTTTTACTTAACCATAATAACAGAATAATTATGTACACCTTAACAAACTTACAATGTAGCATAACCAGGTACAATTGATGGACTATTGGATAAGGAATTTTGATGTTGAAATGCATTCGTTGTTACAGAATGTGAACGAACCGGAGAAGTGATACTACTTGATGATTGTGAAGTAGCAGGTATATCTCCACCTGCTCCGTTAGGCCCATTATTATTACAGTAATTATTATTATTACTATTAGCAGCTGTCATTGCGTTAACAGCACCAGTCGCTGTTGTTGTTGGTGTACTTGTTGCTGTGAGCGTATTAACACCACTAGTATTCAATTCCTAAAGATATAGATAAAAAACAATGTTTTTTGTAATTATTTTACTTCGAAACAAAAATTATCTCTGTATCAATGAAGGTTGTGACACAATAACTACTGATCCCATATCCCATTGTATCTACAAGTTGGCCTACAGTTGTGAGGACATATATATCGGTAGAGCATGAAAAATAAGATCCCGATTTTCACGTCCAATGTGAAGTCAGTACCACTTACTATACGGACCCGAGACATGGAGAGTCATAGAGAGCATCTCAAACAAACTTCAGACCTTCATTAACAGCTGTCTTAGCTCAATACTACTCAAGATCAGATGGCCAGAAAAGATCAGCAACAGGGATCTCTGCCAATGGGCGAACCAACCAGAAACCGACTGTGAAACAAATAGGCAGGGAGAAATGGAGATGGATTAGACATACTCTGAGGAAACCATCAAATGACATCACTAGACAAGCCATTGGTCGAGTTGAACCTGAAAAGGAAGTGGCGAGTTGGTCGTCATTACAAGGATGACTTGGAGGAGGTCATGTGTGAAGAGGAGATGAAAGCATGAAGGCAGAGACTTGTAGCAAGGTGAAAACTCTAGCAGAGAACCGAACGCAATAGAGACGCGTGGCTGAAGCCCTATGTTCCTCTAGGAATTAAAGGAAACAATAATATATCGATAGAAGTAATAGAATATTCCAATGTCGTAGGAAAGAATATATCCCTTAGTGTTGGTTGAATTGAATAAAAAAATGAAATTGAAATCCAATAAATCTTAATACAGACCAATGTATCATCAATCAAAAAATATACTCATCAATGTCCCGGCCGTAAAATCAATACAAATGATCACTTCTCAATCATTTAACATAAACACCATAGTATTTTGAGGTCATCAAAGATAAAGGAAGCAGTTTACATTAATCATATGCGCCCTAATTATTGTTTACAGAACAACAACAACAACGGAGTTCAATCTTCGCTTAATCTTGACTACTTGACCTGTGGTGACATAAATGAATATCTTCTTTTCTTTTCTTTATCTCATACAGTTAACATACTGTCAAACGTTCTATTCTTATCAATTATGGTCAATAATGTGACATGATTGCAGAGAAACTACGTGGTTGTATCGTCCGTCGTTTGATATTTAAACTTTTTCGATAAGCGATAAGTTCATTCCTTCTTAAGAAGAAAGATATTTGCTATCATGCATAAACCAACCATTATTAGTTAGCATAAACATATATATATATATAATAAAACTAATTTAATCTAATCTAATCTGATTATTACTTCGAAGTATGTGAATGCTTCACATAAAGTTAGATTAAATATAAATGGACAGAATGAAGAATAATCTCCTCTTAAATCAAATCATCATTATAAACGTAAGTTGAAGCATGCAATCGACGAAACAACTTCTTATTGTCTATATGTCGATGCACACATTTCTTCTTGTAATGTGCAACAATTAAGGGAAAGTCATACCTTTCCTACCTTCTCAGATTATTCAACAACGCATATATACAAATACTGAATTTACTATGAAACATGAAAGCTCCTTCATTTCCTCGACATTTCCAGGCAATGGCCTAGAAGATGGTAGTTGTCTTGTCTCCAGAGGTCAATTTACTCAAAGTCTACATGGAATGGACAATACCTAAATTTTTTTAAATAGTTTTTATCCAAATAGCTTTAAACGGGCACTTAGTCAAGACTCTGCACCATAGAGATAGGAGAACATGCTCTACAGAGAAATTAGACAAAAAAAATTTGTTTCTCGAAAAGATGTTGAAAAGAAACGATTACCCCCCCCCCCCAAAGGTTCATTAACAAGTATGTAAGATCTGAATACTCAAATCACAGTGGGAAAAAAGCCCACCTTCGTCCAACTTGATTTAAAAAGGTGAAAATATTGCAGCAATTGTCAACAGAAGATTGAGGACGTCACTAATCAGAACCTATCCTGCAATTAAGTTGGTTCCCCTGTTGCAATCAAAAGTCGACAGATAATCTTCTCATATTAACCCCAAATTTACATGTATCTGGGAGAGCAGTAACATTGGAAGAACAGAAAGAAGGGCATACCTTCGATTTTCTGAAAATGTAGGGAATTCCCTACAAAACCAAAACTTGGAAACTAATCTGATGCTCACTAGCGACTGGCCCTATTCAGGCAGTGGAAAAGCTGTGATCAGGAGGGTACAGTAGGTTGAAGGTGAGGCAGTAACTCACCGAAGAACACATTGCGTAGTGGTCGCGCTAAGTCGCAAATTAACAGAAGTTAGAATTCATGCACTGGCTACCTGGCTGGCTATCGTAGCGTTTTAATGGTCTACCAGCTAGCACGCCTTGTAACCAGAAGGTCTTGGGTTCGAATCCTGTTGGTGGGTGCGTACTTCTGAGACGGAGTCCCAAACAAGGACGAAACAGTTAGCTGTCCAATAGTCCCAGCTGGTTTTCCAATGGTTCTCTAGCTGATGTCAGCACATGATGAAATCCTCCAACCAGTCAAATAAATATGTGTTGACCCGAACTATTGAGTGACTTAGGAAGAGAAATAATAAAAGACAAAAATTCGTCCTCTTCCCTTAAAATAGTTTTCGTCACTGACTGATTCTTTAATGGCTGGAAGTAAAAGAAGATCGGAAAACGCATATGGAATAAATCAACACATATTTCATGAGATGTTATTTTATTTCAAAGCAATCTTTTATGCATTATTTATCCGCATATATAATTAGTTGTCGTTTGAAAATAACAGACTTTAAAAAAATAGAACGTGGAACGTCAGATGGAGGGAGACACAGAAAGAAGGAAGAAAGAAATAAATAAAAACTAAGGCATTAAGTTGATTCCATAAGAAAAACATTTACACACCAGAGTTGACGATGATTGATTATTCAACACATAAAACTTTGAATAAAGATGAAACCTTCCGCAGAACACTTATCTCATCTATTCTACAAATTTCTGTTATATTTATTTGCCCATTGTAGAAGAAAGTGAAACAATCAGAGTCGTGAGCGAACCGAATGGAAAATCGATAACTTAAAATAGGCATTTCAAACATGATGCGAGTAAACTTTTAGTGCAGTGAAACAAACAAATAATGTCTTAAAACAAAAGTAACAAAATAACAGACTTAGTACTTTTTATAAAAAGTAGCAAGGCAGAGTAGAAAATATTCGCAGATAATTTCTGAAACATGCGAATTCATTCTAAGTAAAACCACCTTTCACTTTCTAGTGAAAAAGAAATTCAGATACAAACTTGGATTACATAAAATGTCTAAAATGAAGAGAGAAGCAAAGTAATAGAAGAAGTATAAACTTTAGAGGGAAAAACTGTGTTAGTCAATTATTTGAATTCAAAAGATGACGCAATATAATGTCTCGTCGTTTGTTTATGCTTATACTTATATATGTACTTTACCGGTCTAGATGCACAACTGCATTTGTTTGAACAAAGTTGACATTTCTAGGCAAAAAGCGTGAGTTACGGAAAAAAAAGAAATAACTTTGGAATGCAGCTTTGTTTTTTATTTCTAAAAAGATGTACGCGTCGTCATTAGAAGTCGGTTTGCACAAACAGACACTAGCGTTAAAGTAATGCCGAATAGAAGCAACAGTTGGAATGGTTTCTTTTAATTAGAACTTTAGCCTAACTGAGTACAGCTGTGAACTCTGGAAGAAAAACTACTAAGTGAAGCATTAGACGATCAAAACAAGAATGCCTTCTTTTTTACGCTTTACAATTTTACACACCCATATACACCATTACAGTTGTAAGGATCCAATAAGTACCAGCATAACTTAATGAATGTAGTGAGGTTTTTTATTCGTTCAGACAGTGTTGATTTTTTCCCTCTATTTGGGAAATAAGATTAATCCTCAACTGCTCCCACCCCCTACTTTCCCACGAATCTGGATATACCAAAGAAACAACCTATTTTTAAATCTGAAATCTAAAAGAGATACAATTAATGAAGTCCTTTGAAGATATTTATCGAGAACGCTTTGAAGAACGCTTTATACTAAATCACCTTCTCTGTGCTTATTTGTATTCACTGAAACGCCGAAAACAAGATGCAACTGCTGGCAACTTCAGTGTTCAATTGCATTTATGAAGTTCGGTGCATAGGACATTATCTAAACACACTCATTAAAACATCTACCAAAATGGTTGTTATAAAAGGAAACATAGAATATAGTTAGTAGCTCATTTCTGGAGTATATTATCACTTTGTGGTCATGCTGCATCAGCAGTGATGCCATTCAGAATTACAATATATGTATCCATAGTAAAAATAAAGCCGCTCAAAAGGGTTTCGCTGACTTCCTATTAATGAAGATACAGCTCTTGCGATCCAGAAGAAAAAGCCGAAACACTGTGTTCCAATAAACGGCTTCTTCACACTCTTCTACTACCATGGTCTTAGTGTCAACTTTACTTTCTCTTTTGTTGGATAATAAACTGTGTTGTTGTTTTTTTTTATTCTTTTGACCCCCTCTCAGTTTTTTGTCCTCTTGTCTCTCTCTTATCGTTCATTTTCAAATGAACATTTATCATTTAACAAACAATCATTTAACGACCCTCTTAATTACGTAGGATGATTATTCACTATTTTTACAGACATTGTTATTTCACATACATACTTTGATTTATTCTGCTACTAACTGACAATAACCTCTGACCTTTCCTATAATTAATACTATAGAATATAAATCCCTAGATAACTGTACACAGCTTTGAAATGAAGTTACAAAAAGATATCCGTTTAGCGGACTGATGGCGTCATTAATTCACATCACATCACATGGGAATTGGGAAATAAATTTCTTAAGAAAGAAAATAAAGAAATTGTAGATTTAGGTAACTTGGAATTCTCATAGAAATTGATTGATTTTTTTTAAATCAAAAAAGCGTTTTGTCTAAGATGATACTACAACCACTAGCCTACTAACCAACCAACAGAATAACAATAATTACTTGTGGAAAAAAAATGAACAA